CGGTCTCGTGTGGGTCGATCATGCTCGGTAGCATGTTCGGATCGGGTTCCGCATTGTAAATGGGGTTTCAACTGTGTTTCGTGCATGTGCGGTCGACAGAATTCCATTGTGATTTGCAACTGTAGGATCGTTCCCGCAATGTGAATGGGATTGCAAGTGTTGCTGGTGGATGAGTTGCCGATGGAGTTTTGGAGGAAGTCTCCCACGAAATGCGTTTTTGAGAGATAGCAGATGCACGAAACCCTGTGTTTTTCCATACAAAGTCCGTCCCCGAACGTCGATGATCTACCTGTGCGGTGCGACGGGTGCGAGACGGTCTCGTGTGTGGTCGGATCATTCTCGGATCATTCTCGGATCATTCTCGGATCGGTCTCGGATCGGTTCCGCATTGGAAATGGGGTTTCACCTGTGTTTCGTGCATTTGCGGTCGACAGAATTCCATTGTGATTTGCAACTGTAGGATCGTTCCCGCAATGTAAATGGGATTGCAAGTGGTGCTGGTGGATGAGTTGCTGATGGAATTCCATTGTGATTTGCAACTCTAGGATCGTTCCCTCACTGTAAAATCCTTTAAAACATTTTCATTGAAAAATCCGTGTGATTTGGCGCTAATGATTTTCCTTCTAAAAATCCTTTTAAAAAGTGCTTCAAAATCGTATTTTTTTCGCTCTGGCGTCGAGATCCGGTTTTGGAGCTACAATTTCCGACGCCGTTGCACGTAGTTCTATTGTGTTTTGCAACTCAGTCTCTGCAGATCGCATTGTAATGGCTGCGTCAAGGTTGCTGCGTGCTGTGGCTGCATTCGTAATACTATTGTCTTTTGCAGCTGGATCTCGGAAATCGTCTTGGAGTGGCTGCATGAAGGCTGCGAAATGGGTTTGTTAGCAGATTTCTCCATTTTGGCACTAGTGTTTTTTTGTTGGACGTACGTTTAGAGCAGTGTGAAGTGTGGGGCGTGAAGAGTGCAGTGTGAAGTGTGAAGTGTGAAGGAAGCAGTGGGAAGTGAGAAGTGTGAAGTGTGGAGTGTGAAGGTTTAAGTTATGGAAGTGCGAAGGAGGCGCAGTGTGAGGTGAAGGTGAGGGGTTGGATGTGAAGGAAGCAGTGCGAGTGTGAAGTGTGGATGTGAGTGTGCAGTGTGAGTTGAGTGTGGAGTGTGGACGTGCGGAAGAGGGAGAATGTGAAGTGTGTGAGGTTGGAGTGTGATTGAAGTTTGGAGTGGACGGAAAGCAGTGGAGAAGTGAGAAGTGTGAAGTGTGGGACTGTGATCGTGGGAGTGTGAAGTGCGAGGGAGAAGTGTGAAGTTTGGAGTGTGAAGGAAGCAGTGAGAAGTGAGAAGTGTGAAGTGAGAAGTGTGAAGTGTGGACTGTGCAGTTTGGAGTGCGAAGAGCGCAGTGTGAAGTGTGAAGTGTGAAGTGTGAGGTTTGGAGTGTGAAGGAAGCAGTGAGAAGTGAGAAGTGTGGAGTGTGAAGTGTGAAGTGTGAGTGAAGTGTGGCGTGTGAAGTGCGAAGTGAGAAGTGTGAAGTGTGAAGTTTGGAGTGTGAAGTTTGGAGTGGGAAGGAAGCAGTGAGAAGTGAGAAGTGTGAAGTGTGGACTGTGAAGTGTGGAGTGTGAAGTGCGAAGTGTGAAGTTTGGAGTGTGAAGGAAGCAGTGAGAAGTGAGAAGTGTGAAGTGAGAAGTGTGAAATGTGGAGTGTGAAGTGTGAAGTGTGAAGTGCGAAGTGAAAGAAAGTGGGATGGAAGTGTGACAGTGTGAAGTGTGGACGTAAGTGTGAGAGTGGATTGAACTGTGAAGTGCGAAGAGCGCAGTGTGAAGTGTGAAGTGTGAGGTTTGGAGTGTGAAGGAAGCAGTGAGAAGTGAGAAGTGTGGAGTGTGAAGTGTGAAGTGTGGAGTGTGAAGTTTGAAGTTTGGAGTGCGAAGAGTGCAGTGTGAGGTGTGGAGTGTCGAGGGAAGGACACGGTCGGGACAGGTTGTCTTTGAACTATAGGTCATTTATGTTTGGGAAACTTCCGCCGCCGGCTTGCCCGGGTCTATGTTATCTTTCTTGGTGAAGTGTGCAGTGTGAAGTGTGAAGTGTGAGGTTTGGAGTGTGGAGGAAGCAGTGAGAAGTGAGAAGTGTGGAGTGTGAAGTGTGGAGTGTGAAGTTTGAAGTTTGGAGTGCGAAGAGTGCAGTGTGCAGTGTGAGGTGTGGAGTGTCGAGGGAAGGACACGGTCGGGACAGGTTGTCTTTGAACTATAGGTTATTTATGTTTGGGAAACTTCCGCCGCCGGCTTGCCCGGGTCTATGTTATCATTTCTTGGCATGAGATTCTAAATTTCTGATGCGGTGCAATTTCTAGCTGAGGAGTATGACATGATAGGCTGCCACTTTTACGCTCTAGTGAACTAACATAGCCCATTGCTATCGAAAATGGCCATTTATAGTTGATCTTCCCATAAAAAACGGCGATTTTCCGTAGTTCTGTTGGTTTACCAAAGGGTAATGAGTTCACTGCCACGATGCAGGTTGGGCCCGGGCGTCTCCATCCGTTTCTGCGGCGGCGTCTCGCTGCTGTGCAGCGTGCCTGAGGAGCTCAGCGGCGACACGGCGCAGGTGCTGGAGCTGGCCACGGCGGCGGCGGGGAAGATCTGCGCGGCGGATCTGCAGAGGTTGGCCATGGCAGCCATGGGGGCCATGGGGGCCATGGGGGCCATGGGGGCCATGGGGGCCATGGGGGCCATGGGTTGGGGATGGAGGTGGTGGATGGTGGTGGATTTGGGTGAGGAAAACATCAGGAAAACATGAAGAATACATGAACAGTGATGAGCGGAGATTGAAGATGCCCGAAAGCTGCAGAAACTTGGGGGTGGAGCTGCAAGAATTGCAGAAACGGTGGGCTGAAGATGAAAACAACAACTGTTTGAAGGTGCCAAACAGTGGGGTGAGAACAACAAGACAAGGGTGGGTCAGGTATTAGGACGGAGGTTGATCCACAGATTTGGTGTGTCATTCACGAGTTGGAGCCAGGTTCCAAAGTTGGGCTGTCGGATGGTAAAGTAGAGGGAGGGTTCGCAAGTCTCGTGCGAATGAGTCTACTTTTGGTGAATAGTCACTGACACCCAGTGGTACGCAACTATGGAGGTGAGTTTCAGCTTCTCCTTTCTCGCGCAGGAAAGGTTGGACCGTTGACCGGGCTGAACAAGCACTGTTGCACTGTGTTCGAGACACTCGTCGTGCATCCAAGCTGCCCTAAGCAGCTGTCCCAAAATCAAGCATACAGGTACCCTCTGGAAAATCAACAATAGCCATGGAAAAGTACCCAGGTCATGCCGGGTGGCCTGTGGGCGGCGGCGTCAGCGTCATTTTCCACATTCAAGCACGCCACTTGCAAAGCTTTCCCCGCTCCTTGCACATTTGCTCCTTGCAAAGCTTTCCCAGCTCCTTTCCTAGTTGGTGGAACATGCGATGACAACGTAGTATCAACGACGTGGTCGTCAGGACATTAATATCCCACCCCACCCCACCCCATATGTATATATATATATATACACATACAAAACTCAAAAAGTAACAAAAACGCACAGGCCACCCGGCACGGCGTTAGCAGCTACCCATTTGCAGGTAGTGCACAGTGGTGTACCTAGAACAAACATGGGCCCTGTTCCAATTTGTTCCATGGCTATCTTAGATCACCAGAGGATGAACCCATACTCCAATGATGGATCTCTCAGCAGCGATGTTTGGATTATTTTGAGGCATGTTGAGCATTTTATGTTGTTATTTTTGTTGGATATCTGTTTTTCAGTGGACATTTCCTCAACGCTGTTGCATCTTATATGATATATACTGTATATATATATATAAGATTAGATTGGTTTTAACCATCAACATGCATCAACCATGAACAGCGATTTGTGGGTCAAGTGGCATCTAGTGGAATTTGGTCGATTCATTTTTTATAGTGGGGTGGGGGAAGGTCACACATGGGCGATGCGGTTACTTCAGAATCGGGGCAATTTACGGTTGAAGATGGTTGAAGCCTCCTTATTCTTTGGGAAAAACAACATAAAACCATATAAAATACCATGGTTTCAACATGTTTCAACCGTAGATTTTCCCACCAAACCCACCCAGTCACCCAATCCATCGTGAGGAAGGACTTTGTTGGGTGGACAAGCAGGACCCAAAGGTGCCAATGTGGTGTTGGTTCCCTAGCAGCTGGGCTGGCTGGGGGCTGACGGATATCACGGACATCACATGACATGAATGCGAGGCATAAGCGCTGGGCTGGGCTGAAAGGACCTTAATCCAGGTTGTTGAAGTATAGTGAAGTATGATGATGTGTGAGGAAATATCCAGAAACATCCGGAATACAGATATCGATGATAACAGCCTAAGCAAAACAAGGCCAGGCATGTGGCAGTTCCCAGCAAGTACAAGCATGGTTCCAATCCATTGGCGGAAGTATAGCGCAATCATTGTCTATACCCTGCCGAGTCCATCAAATTACAGTATCAGCTATCAAAGGTGTACAGATGTACTGCAGTTGCAGCATGATTTTGATGCACAAGTCTTTCATTAAACCACCTGTGTTGCGAAGGAACAGTATGGCCCCTTAGTCTTTGTGCCTTGGGATATTCTAATTCCTCGAGTATGTTAAGTTAAGGACTTTGCTCACGCCACAGCCAGGAGAACCCTGCAATATACAACCAACTTGTGCTTGCAACATGAGGGGTCCTAATCCGAGTCTTGGATGTGACTGGTTGTTTGCTTATGGAGTTCACAAAATCTCCTGGCATACAAGGGTCCCGTGGGTCAACCTCAGGTATTGCCCTAGCCGAACTGGAGAAGCCTCTGTCGGGTGAGTCCGAAGCGTAGGCTTCATGTGGAGCCGCGGCCAGTTTCACCCGGTTTCACCTAGCCCAGCCGTGTCGCCGCCAAAAGTGCCAAATTCTGCTGCCAAATTGTCAGTGCCCCAGTGCTGTCCACAGTGTCCCCTGCTGTTCCACTTTGCAGCCACAAGGTATTGTGAATAGCAAACTCGTCCCACTCTCCGAGTTGATCCTTGCCGCAAGTTGAGTGCTGGGAGAGATGTAACTGCAGCAATACTGTGACCGATTTGTGCTAATACGCCTGGAGCGGTGAACAATTATTTGCAAATTTTGCAAACCTGCGAACATGTTTGGCCCCATACCTCGTCAATATGAATCCACAGACATGATGACTTAAGACTCAAAACTCACCGCAGGCTTCGCTTTGCAGAGTACAATTACAATTTTGAACCCCCAATTGACACATGCAGTTTTTTCATTTGAATAGGGGGTGGTCAGCTCACATTTGTTTGGATTGTTTAGGTTGTTTAGGTTATATAAGCCCAATAACAATGCCCTTTTTCAACTCTACATTGCTCTACCGTGTGTGTAGCAGAAAGGTTCCCAAAAGCATTTTCTCGCATCCCTTTTGTCAGGTCAAGAATGACTGCAGTTGTGGCAAGAATTGGTGGATGTTCTGAATATGTTCCTACGGATTCCTACATGTCAACATGTTTTGCACTATATTTCTGAGCAAGAGCGCACCAGCACCATGTTTTCCATATGTTTTCCCATTGTGTATGTCTCCATGGTATACCTGTCAAAGGGCCAAGTGTGGCTTTACGCGCATCGGATTCATGGCACAGAGGGCCGCTTAGTGATTTGCATCGGCCTCATTTGAGATAATACTGTGCCCACTTGACTTCAATTGCTTACTATGATAATGATGCTGCTGATGACAATCATCATCATAGCATATCATAGCCATATGTGACTTGATATCTACTTCTAGCTCTATATCTACCGCACATGCATCACACATGCATACAAGATCATACAAGTGCAATATCTATGCTATGAAGAGCATGGCATTTGTTTTCACGGTCCACATGTGGGGCTGGACATGGTTGGACATTGCCAATCCCCATGAAGATAGATTCACTACATTGACCAACTCATCCCACACCATGTACACATCCATATCAAGCTATATGTTAAAAGATGTGAATAGGATTCATAGGCTATTGAAACATCCCGGTTAGTTGATTTGTACATGATTTGATTTATACATGACTGTGACAAAAATAAACAGACAAATAAACATAGATTAATATATTGTATTATATATATATTATATATATATATGTTATATATATATTATATATATGTTATATATATATATTATATATATATATATTATATATATATACACATAATACAATAGTCCACATCTATATCCACCTGCACTCATGGAACTTCAGGGCAGCAGCCGGAAATCGGCTTTGCCGCTTCGCTTCAGGTGGGAGCTCATGGATTCCTACGGCTTGCGCAGACAATTCGAGGAGCTTCTGGTTGCAGCGCCGGCGCCGACGTTTTCGGCGAAAAAACGGACGGAGAAGGCGTCGAAGGCGTCGTCCAATGGGTTCCTTGGCGGAGACCAGCCTAGATTTGTGGTTTTTAAATGGAAATATGGGGAAATAACTTATCAGAGATGATCAAACATGAGACTGATGCATTTGAGGTTAGTTTGCCAGAGGGTAACTCCCAGCAAACGGATTGAAGCAACCAAAATGTGGATTTAGCCAACAAAAAATGATGCTTTGACCATGAACCATGAGGATTTTGCTAGAACAGATCGTGTTTTTTTTTGGCGATGCTTTTCATCATATGAATCATATACCAACAATAGGGACCATATGATATGGGAGTTGAGATGCCAACATCACAGATATCCAGAAGCTATGGTCGTGTATTTGGAGATTCTACTGATTCTACTGCCTGTCACAGGGGATTATTGATAATTTAAACTCACGTTGACCAACCAGGATCAAATATTTCTGGGAAGGTACTGGCCCCAAGGGGGAATGGTCACCATCCTATGATTGGCATGAGGTGGGCTTGTGTTCCAACGTCACGGGATGTACCCTCAATCAACATCAATAGCTAGGCCAATATTTAGGTACTTCACGTGTTTAGTTGAAACCTCATTTGCAACCGGGGATTGGATTTTCCATTGTCCTGCCCTGCATAGTCACAGGCGTTGGTTCTGAACCCTCATTTTGCACCTCAAGCGGTGCAAGAAACTGAGGTGGGAGGGCAAGTGGAAAGACGATTGGGGCTCAGGACCTGTGAGTTCTCAAAGCCATTGCAGCGACGGCCATGGAAAAGGAGACATGGGAGGGTTACGGCCATGCTTCGGTGACGTGCAGGAGAATGGGAAGACTGGGGCAAGTGGAAAGACAAGAGCTCCGGCTACGACAATAGCTATGGCAGTTATGGCAGCTATAGCAAGTACAGCTATGACTACAAAGGTCCGCCGCGGCCAAGTTGATCCAAGAATGGTCTTGGCAGAATTGTGTTGATTTCAACCCTTTCTGTTTTGCCACGGTCAAAAAACCTGACTGTATGATTATGAGTGGCTGCTAATTGCACATATTTTTGCACTTTTCCATCCCTAGGTTGTAAGATGACTAATCAATACTCGGCCAATGAACAGCGATATCAACCGATTTCACGCGTGGCCAGTGAACACCACTCTGGCACCCTTTGCAGATTGGTCCAAAGCCAGTCGAAGTCGTTCGGCACCCAGAGGCCGGAGTGTTGAGAAGCCTTGGGAAAGCGAAACAGACTATGGATTCTTGGGATGGTTTTCATGTTTAGCGGAAATCTGTCCTCCTGAAAACTCACAGGAAACCCGCATCGTTTCATGGAGATGTTTCATCATTTTCCGTAGGACATGGCCGAACTGGAAAAAAAATGGGCCATGGCGAACGCTAATAAATGTTCCATTGGCAAGTTTGAAGGGCAAACTGTTGGGGGTGGTCCAACCTGTCTAACCTTAATGGGCATTTGCATCCAGCAATTGTAAGCACAATCCATGCTGTGACATGCAGTGACACGCATGCAGTAGGGTGCAGCCAAATTGCAGCACAATACCGTTGAAATGTACATATTGGAAGGGTACCAACAATCATATGCAATTACCCCATTTGATCCACAGCTACAATGGCTGTAAAATGCCACTGCTCACTGGATTTCACTGGCGTACCCAAAGATCCCAAGTCACTCCAAAACAAAAGGTCTATCAACATCTACCAGCCCCCTCCAGCCCCAACTCCAACATCTCCAGGCCACCCAAAGATGATCTGCTTATTTCTGCTTGCTTGTCATATGTTGTCATCCCCTTGGCAGGTGACTCCTTCAAGCCTGCACAGAGCCAACGATCGGCCTCTCAAGGCGGAAAAACAGAGGCTGGGTGCAGGGCATGGCAGGGCACAACATATGAAACTGGCAGGTACTGAGAGGAGTCACAAGAGCGACTTGGCAGAAAAGTTGGGAATGCTGCAAGGGATCAGTTACAGTTGGCTTCCCTGTCGGATCTTATGGATCTTATGGGGGAGGTGGATGGATAGATGATGATAGATGCAAGCCTGCCCTGGTTGCTTTGTTTCCCTAAGCATCACAACTTCAAGACATCTGTCCTTGGACTCGCAATGGCAACTGCGTAACTTGTTGATTTTGTTGCTGCTGGTGGCTAGTGCTGAGCATATTCTTACCGCAAAAACATCTTCAGATGTGCGCGATGATCCCCCACTTCACTCCATCTTTGTTGACAGAAGTTGAACTCTTTGAAAATCCATCCTGCAAAATTAGAGCATCACTCTCGAGCACATATGAGATGGCATGCGAACATGGCGGTATACGCTGTACGTGCACTCAAATATAGATTGTTTTTTTAGTCTTTAGAAAGTGGGCCAGAAAAAAAAAAACTAATTATCATACTGTACATATCTGTACATGCTATGTGCTACAATTATCTACAACAATAATTGATGTCTACGGTATCGATCATCAACAAGATTGTCCCATTTTTACCTGCTGCCGTTCACAGGGCCTTCCTAAGGTTTTTCACTCCCGCCCCAGGTGCAAAGTTCAGCAGATCCGTCCACGCAGACGGTGAAGAGCCGAAAGGTACAGCCTGTGTTTTTTTGTGGTTGGGAGACCGCCAAAGATTGTTGGAGGATCATCCCATTTAGCAAGTGCTTCACCCTGGTTACTAAGTCCCCGATTTGTGAGCGTATCCCAAAAATAACTAGCTAAGCCATGGGCCGTGGCGATGTGTGTTTTTATTGATGGTTGGGCATTGCCCTCAGGGAAGTGTTTAGACCACACAACATGCCAAACGAATAGCCTTGGACACACTAGAACCCGGGAGGGTTGTTGCTTCGTGGCTGTATTTCACCCTGCCGCATTTGGTGAGGTGAGAAAGGTGGCGACGAAACCGAGACTTGGAAGGCCTGTGCCAAGCACATCAACTGCTTCTCAGGGTAAAAATCCAGCATTTCGGCAAAGATCGGCAAAGTGTCCGGTGGAGGGTGTCAACTTTGGCAGGAAAACCATGGAAAACCAAATGTTTGGGTGTCAAGTCTCCACCTCCCATTCTCCCACGTCATTTTGCGGAAGATTTTTGCACCAACCGAGAGACGGTGCACCCCATAGCACACCCAACTCGCGGCATAGCGAGTTGGATGCCTTTCAGGAGCCTACAAAGAAGAAGCCTCGCACAGAGATCCAGGCGGTTTCATCAGATACTGTTGGACTCCAGGGATGTGAACCGACTGTTGGTGTGTTTGCTTGGTGAATGATGTTGAAACATGTTTAAACATGTTTAAACATGTTTAATAATGTTTATAATATTCATGGCTTAATTGTGCTCGAATGGTTGGCATCAACATCGTCGAAAAGACATGAAAAGACAAGAATGGCTCCAGAATGGCTGAAACAGACTTTGGCGCGATGACTATGGAGACAGAGAGGGGTGTCGCCATGAGCTCCAAATCAGAAATATCCAAGAAATTGTGGAAGAGCTCTCATTCTATACAGTGATTGATATTGGATGATATTACTAGTATCATTATCCCTATCAAAATGGCTATCAGTCTGAGTATATACCGTTTTCAGACACACTTTGGTGGAGTTTACCATGTGCAATTCTGACTGAGTTATCCTTTGTGGACATCTCAGTGAGAAAACTTGTAGGAAAACTCACGACTGAGGGAGCAGACAGTCCTGGCCATGGGATGCCATGGGTCAGAACATGCCAGGACATGTCAGGACATGCCAGGGCCAAGGATATCACATGGTATCACCAGATGCTTTCACATTGGTCGCGTCCAGTGTCCATGAGATGAACATAGATGAACCAGCTCTTGCAAGGCCCCTGAGCGACCAGAGCGAGAAGTTTCAGGGGCTAGCCTCTTCAAGGAGGCTTGAGTCGAAACGTGTGGACAAAATGGGGTTGGGTAATGCTGGGCGCTGTTTAGTTGGCATTTGGGTATTCTAAATTAAGAGAGACGTGCAATTATATGTGCATGTTTGCATGTTTGCCCGGATAATTATATTTTCGTTTTTTTCAGGATGGTGCCAATGTGTGCCATTTTGGCAACAAATGCCAGGGTGCCAGGGTGCTCATGAAACACAGCACCTGGCACCCACTGCTTGTCCTGAGAGAGGCTTTCATGTTTGTTCATTTAAGGGAAAACTTGTAGGAACCCTCCCTATAAAGATGGGAGACCAGTGAGTTCAGGGTTTTAACGCTTATGCACATGATGTATCACGATGTTGCATGCCCACGTTGGAAATCCAAGCCCCACATAGTCTTTCCCGGCAACTATAATTTTGTCATATTTTGTCTAGTAAGCTGTGGCTGTGTTTTTTGGGGCCCCATTTGAAACTTGAAACTGATGATTTTAAGCTCAGCTTTCAGCACTGGAGGCGATTGCCACTCTCCCTGAGACTGTCTACGGTCACGATGATCGTCACGACGACCGAGAAGCGCCGTGGATAGGCAGCTCCCTTCAACGGGTTGTCGCGTCAGTTTGTCTCACTTCATGGGCTATTTATATTTACAATCCTGGCGTGTGGCAAACAGCTGGAAAACATGTTAGAGAGACTCTAAAAAATTGGATGTTGATGAACTTTATGGATCTTTATGGTGAAAATAAGATCTTGGTCAATTTGTGCCTTAAGTTGGTAGGTTTCATGCAATCGATTTTCACCCTACCTGGACGAAAAACGGTGCAGGTGGGCCGCCCGGGCCCGGTGGGCCTGGTGCTCGGCGGAGAGAAGGTCGTCCGAGGGCCCAGCCCTCTTAAGTCCTTTGCGTAATGTGTGATGAACACATCATTTGGAACCATAAAATCACTGGAAAATGGTGGTTTAATGGGATTTTAATGGGATTTTATAGTGATTTAATGGGATATTAATGGGATTTACCCTCTGGTAAACTAACATAGCTATTGAACATGGCCATTTGTAGTGGATTTTCCCATAAAAAATAATGATTTTCCATAGCTATGTTAAATTACCAGAGGGTAACACATCATATTAAACCCATAGGATCCATGTATGCCATATATGCTAACATTGGGGGTATATTGATGGTAAATGTTACCATATATAGCATACATGGATCCTATGGGTATTAAAGAAAATGCTCAGGTTGTACCATTTCGACATGCATATTAGCTCAGATTGCATGGTTTGGGCATTGCATGGGTCATACTTCTACAATCTTCTACATGCTATTTATGTGTGCAAAGCATTGAATTCTGCTCCGCGAAACGCAGGGAACTGCTGGTTGTCCAACCAAGGAACCAACGGAAGGTCCACTCCCGAAGTCTCGGACAAACCCTTGGAGGGCAAAAACAGCGATGTGGAGCGGCCCTTTGTTCCTGGGCAGAAGGATGGGGGCTGCGCACTATGACAGACCTTGACAGACCTTGATGATCGTACTGCGGCACTGCAAGTGGCCAACCTTCAGGGTTTTTCGGGGGTTGTACATGTTGTTCCAAATTCCTCCAAGTTTCCTCAAGTTTCGATGCTTTGCGAAACGACTCTTCTCCATGCTGAGATGCGATTCGATGGCTCCCCACGGGCAGAGGATGTACGACCACTGCCTGTGTTGCGCGAGGCCTCACCGATACCAATCAAATTGAGAATTGGAGGATATTGGAGGACCCCAAGAATACCCTCAACTCAACTGTGGGCCTTGATGGTCCTAGATGTTTTTGGTTGTTTTGAATGTCGTTGGGTTGCCCTCTTGGAGGAGCCCCGCAAGACTTAACCAACATCTCAGGTATATTGCAGGATGCGCACCAGCCATCTCATGACATTGCCCAGAAACAAACCAAGTTGAAGTCTTGCGTGTACCCTCAAATTTGATAGTTATCATATATGGTATCATTGGTTCCTTTTTAAATTAAAATTGGCCATTCATTCACCGTCAGGCTTTCTCGCGAGCAAAGGAGCGCTGGGAGAGTAGCAGGGACTGGAGCTACGTGGGAGAGATGCCTCTCGGAACCAACTCGCGGAGTCTGGCTTTGATTTCTCAACTTTGATGATCATTTGCTACTAACATTGCCATTGATTTACATTTCCCTCACTTATATATATATAACTTATATATATATATTATAATATCATGTCATCAAAGTTTCGGTTCTGACAGATGTTGCCTCTGAACATGGCCATAAATTGCAGCCTTGATCCCCCTGGGCCAAGGCTGCGGAGCATCCGGCAAGACTTGACCATTCAGATGGTGCAAGACGCTTTTGTTGTCGAGGCCATGGCCTTTTCGGGCTGTTTGTTACATAATATTATAATGATATATATATACATAGATATTATATATATACATAGATATATTACAATTACAGTATAATTTAATAAAAATAGTGATATAATTATCAGATTATCTATATAGCTATTGGAAACGTTTATTTTTTTTTCATGTAACCCAATGCCATAAACCTACCATTTGGGGATGGTTTGAAATCCCAGGCATGGCCAGGGTACAGGGGAATAGAGCTGATCAGCCATTGGACTTGCCGGGGTGTAGCTGGTTTTCGGAGAAACGGGCATCCAAGGTGATATCCCATTCCGCAGCAGTGGTCCCAGACCCGTTACCTTTTGGGGAAAGATCTATCATGTAACATCATGTCATTATTGTAATATGATTCACATGATTATGATGTAACTGACTATATATATATGTATAATATAATTAATAAATGGTAGTTTTTTTCAACTTGGTGCTTCGGCACGGCCAAAATATCGATCCTTCTGAAGAAGCCTGGTGGGGCAAACGACGCTATCGTCAGGTTCATGAATATTGGGCCCAAGTGGCACTGGAGTTTGGTGACTTCAAACAGTTTGACCAGGCAGCTGCTCAATTGGAGGCGCCCCCCACCACTGTGTGGATCACTGCGTTAAAGCCCTCTTGATTAGCTGTGATTCAGCCCTACGATTCAACATGGAACACCCCATGGGGTCTGGAAGGTGATGTTTTCTCCTATTAATCTATTAGATATTAGTTAGGCCATGTTGGGTGTTGGGGTTTTTAGTTTTTATATGCATTTTGTGAGGGCGTAAACATTTCTTCGCAGGGCCTCTCCGATCCAATAAGCAAGGGATGCACCAGAGGATTAATATACACACCCAAGAGATAGAAACTTATTTGCAGGATGCTAGTTTGATGATGTTTTCCCTGATTTCTATTGATTTCTAAGATTTCAATTGTTTGGCATATTTTTGTGGGTTGCTATATCTTGTTTTTGATCATGAGATTGATTTTTGTGAGCCCTTCGGACTCAGAAGACAATCCGATGCATGTTTTGGGGGGTATCAACTTGTTTTGCCAACAAGAAACTCTTGGGTAGACATGACAGTGGACCCAAAAAAGATCGAAAAGATTCGAACAGTAAAATCTCACTAAAGCAGTGGTACACACACATATACCATATTGTAATATTATATATATATACATATACATAATTAATTATACATATATATATATACATATATTGGTGCATGTTCCTGCAGATTCCCAGGGTTCCCCTGCTTTGACCTACATATGACCCAAGATTCTCGAAGGTAGGCCGAGGTCCAGGTTCTTGGCTCTGGCATGTCTTGGCTGTCGAGGTCTACTACGTGGATCCCACTTTGGAAAGTGGCGCAGGGAAGGTGCAAGACGCTTGCCCTGATGGCGTCGGATGGCGTCGCCATGGATGGCACATCTCTGCTGATGGCGATGGTCAAATCATGGAACCAGCAGAGTTGTAGGTCGAAGGATGCTCAATGGGAGTTAAAAGCAATTAAAAAGATCAATGACTATACTGTATACATCTTTTGATCCTATTTGGAGGTTTCAAGTTGTCTCGCAATTTGACCCAGCGTAAAGTTCGAACGGTTCAAACTTAAAATTGGATGATTTCAGTGGAAGCGAACATGAGAAACGCAGCACCAATGAGGAAGTCCTTGCCTGGCGCCTGCTGTATTTCACCTTGGAGGCACAGGGGATGGGGATGGTGGTTGGATTTCATGTGTACTTTTCATTGCTTTTCAGTATTTTTCGTGATACTTAAAGATACTTATAAAGTTTTTATTAATGGTTATTCATATGTATTCATTCACGGACATTGTTGAATTGTATTCATTGGAATCATCAAAAAGGGCTGATGAGGGCCACAATGGCTCAGATTTGCGGAATCTTTTTTTCAAGCACCAGCTAGCTGATCGAGTTGCTGATCTCTGTCGGTTAACTGGGCGCATGTTTTTTTTTGGGGAAGATATTTGATATATTTAATATATTTGATATATTTGATATATTTGATATATATATATATATAATAATAATAATAATATATATATATAATATATATATATGATTTATTTACCATATAGATGTTCCTGTTGCATCCTTTTGCCTGGAAAAAGAAGCAGCACATCATTGCGGGTTCACCCAGCGCCAGGGAGAAGGTTTAGCCACGACGGAGTTTCTGCGGCGCTTTTGGGGGCGCTTGGACAACAGTCCAGTGGTCAAGTTCGCTCGAAGGCTGGTGGAAATTCGACGATTTCCTGCTGGAAGTTGGATGCGTTTTCAGTGCCATGTTGGTTTTCAGGGGTGTAAACCTGGGTAGTTTGGATGCGTTGGGTCACGATACTGGATGGGAGAAATCCTGCACCGGTTGATAGGTGGTTTATCCCATTATTTATAGGGTTTCAACCATCCAAGGTGGTGCAGGATTTCTTCCACCCACCATGATGACATTTAAGTTTGGTTTCTCACGTCAGCACCAGGCTCCGTAGAGTCATGAGCCAGCGATGTTTCTCGCAAGCAATCAAGTTGCTGTCCACGATCCTCGGCTCCGAAAGGTCCACGAATCATGGCAAGTCGAACTATCCAGTGTATCCCTGTACATGGGTAAGTCTTTCAATACAAGAGGAGGGCTATTTTTTTCGTTTTGTTTCTGTTATTTGTGTTTTGTTTTTCCAGCCTGGCTTTTGTGGCTTCTGTGGCTTTTGTGGGTGTGTGGCTTTTGTGCTTTACCATGCTTTACCTATCTAATTATCTATCTAATCTACTGTAATCTTATTTTATCTAATCTGATCTCATTCTATCTTGTTTTATCTTGTCTTATCTTGTCTTATCTTGTCTTATCTTGTTTTATCTTATCTATCGAATCTATCCAATATATCCAGTTTATCTATCTAATTTATTTGTCTAATTTGTCTGATCTATCTACTCTGTCGAGTCTAACCTATCAAATATATCTAATCGATCTAATCTAATCTAATCTAAACGATCTAATTTAGCCTATATATTTATATAATCATTATAACCTATCTATTTCACCAATCTATTTAATCTAGGTGTTTAATCTATCTATTTAATATGTCTATTGATTCTGTCTATTCAATCTATCTATGTAATATGTTTTTTTAATCTATCTATTCAATCTATTTTATTTAATCTATCGATTTAATCTATCTATTTAATAAATCTATTTAATCTATCTATTTAATCAATCGATTTTATTCTATTTATTTAATCTACTAGTATCGATTTAATCTATCTATTTAATCTATCGATTTAATCTATCTATCCATCTCTCTCTATCTCTCTATCTCTCTATCTCTCTATCTCTCTATCTATCTATCTATCTATCTCTCTATCTCTCTATCTATCTATCTGTCTGTCTATCTATCTACCTATCTATCTATCTATCCATCCATCTATCTATCTATCTATCTATCTAATCCAGCTAATCTATCTAATCTGTCTAATCTATCTAATCTATCTAATTGATCTATCTATCTATCTATCTATCTATCTCTATCTATCTATATTTATCTATCTATATCTCTATCTATCTCTATCTATCTCTATCTCTATCTCTATCTCTATCTATCTATCTATCGATCAATCGATCTATCTTTGTTTTATCAATTTGATCTATCCTATCTATCTTATCTATCTTATCTAAATCATTTATCTTATCTATGTTATCTATCTACTCTATCTAACCTATCTTATCTTATGGATCCTTTCTATCGTATATATCTTGTATGTTGTGTCTAGTTTATCTATCTTATCTATTTTATATATTTTCTCTATCTTATCTATCTTGTCTATCTTATCTGTCTATGTTATCGTATCTATCTAACCTATATATCTATCTATTCGTTCTATTTGATCTATCGATTAAATCTATCTATCTATTCTATCTATCTAATCTATCTATCTGTCTGTGTATCTATTTGTTTAATCTGTCTATCTAATGCATCTAGTCTATCTATCCAATCTTTAATATTCCAATCTTCCAATCAACCAATCTATCTATCAATCTATCAAATTAATCAGCCAACAATCAATCAATCTATCTATCTACCTACCTACCTACCTATCTACCTACTTATCTATCTATCTATCTATCTATCTATCTACCTACCTACCTACCTACCTACCTTTATACACACCTTTTATCCCTACCTGTGCCTTAACCCAACCCTCAACAGACATTAAATCGACCATAAACCAACCCTAAATAACCATAAATATCCCTAAATAACCCTACATTACCCTAAACCAACCATAAACCAACCCAACACTAAACCAACCCTAAACGAAACAATCCAAATAAACCCTAAACTAACCCTAAATAAACCCTAAACAAACCCTAAACCAACGTTAAATAAACCATATATAAACCAACTTTTAAAAAAACTAAACCAAACCTAAATAAACCCTAAACCAACCCTCATAGATAAACCCTAAAGCACCCCGAAATAAACCCTAAAACACCCCCAAATAAACCCTAACCTAAATGACCCAAAACCAACCATAAGCCAACCTTAAATAAACCCTAAACCAAAGTAAATAAAACCAAGCCAACCCTAGATAAACCCTAAACCAACCGTAAATAAAACCTAACCCAACCCTAAATAAACCCTAAACCAACCCTAGGCCCGAAGCCAAGCCTAAATAAACCCTAAACCAACCCTAAATAAACCCTAAACAAACCCCAAATAAACCCTAAACCAAACCTAAACATAGCCTAAATAAACCCTAAATCAACCATAAACCAACCCTAAATAAACCCTAAACCAACCCTAAATAAATCTAAGCCAACCCTAAATAAACCCTAAACCAAGCCTAAATGATCCCAAACCAACCCTAAATAAACCCTAAACCAACCAACACTATGATAGCATCCAATCGCACTATTTAGACCCAACACGGTTGTGCTTCAACCTGTATTCTACATGTTCACCAGGTGCATGTTATGCATGGAAAAAATCGATCGAAACCATGGAAAAATCAATTGAAACCATGGAAAACTCAATGAAAACTAATTGGACAAATCGATGAAAACTTTGGGTAAATGAATGAACACCATGGAAAAACCGGAAACCATGGAAAAATCGATGAACAGTGCAAATGGCACATTTTAGCTCCAAAATTCAGCAAAGTACAGGTGTTTGCTCCAAAATGTAGCAAATAGCAGGAAAAGTGCCCCAGACTGAAAAAAAAAACAAATTACTTTACTTCGTGTGATCTCCACCATGACATTTATACATTTTCTTACTGGCAAATCTTCTGGCATTCTATCTGACATATCTTCTGACATTCTATTTGACATTCTATCTGGCATATCTTCTGGCATATGATCTGGCATATCTTCTGGCATATCTTCTGGCATTCTATCTGGCAAATCTTCTGGCATTCTATCTGGCATATCTTCTGGCACTCTATCTGACATATCTTCTGGCATTCTATCTGGCATATCTTCTGGCATATATTCTGACATATCTTCTGGCATTCTATCTGACATATCTTCTGGCATATATTCTGACATATCTTCTGGCATATCTTCTGGCATATCTTCTATATCTTCTGGCATATCTTCTGGCATATTTTCTGGCATTCTATCTGGCAAATCTTCTGGCATTCTATCTGGCATATCTTCTGGCATATTATCTGGCATTCTATCTGGCATATCTTCTGGCATATCTTATCTTCTGGCATTCTATCTTCTGACATTCATATCTTCTGACATTCTTTCTAACTTTCTTTTCTTCTGCACATTCTTTGTCCCATATCTTCCTACATGAGGTCCGGCAGGGAACACTTGGCGTGGATACTCGTGGTTGAGGTCCGGCAGGGAACACTGGGCGTGGATGGTCGTGGTTGAGGTCCGGCAGGGAACACTGGGCGAGGATGGTCGTGGTTGAGGTCCGGCAGGGAACATTGGGCGTGGATGGTCGTGGTTGAGGTCCGGCAGGGAACACTGGGCGTGGATGGTCGTGGTTGAGGTCCGGCAGAGAACACTGTGGATCGCGGGTCGCAGTTGAGCAAGGACGACGAGGACGACGAGGACGACGAGGAGGACGAGGAGGAGGAGGAGAGGAGGACGAGGCAGGAGGAGGCGGAGGAGGAGGAGAAGGAGGAGGAGGAGGAGAAGGAGGAGAAGGAGGAGGAGGAGGCAACTGACATAAAATCTAACAACCCTCACCTGGCAGGTGGGGAACAAACAAAAAACAAAAAAAACTGCACCCAATACAAAACTGGTTTTCACCTTGTTGTGAGGCTTATTCTTTCTGATTACTGATTTCACAGCCCATTCAATTGTTCGGTAATTATATATTTTGAATTAAAGCCTCACTCTTCCTTGGTGGAAAGCGGTTTATTCTTCCCGTTTTTGATGTCAAAATACAATGCCAGAACAGGTTTTCTCATTTGTGCAGTCTAAGCAACCAAGAACAAGGATCTTATTGCCGACTAATACCAGCTATTGCATGGCAACTGTTCAGAGAAGCTTCGAGAATCCAGGAACAAAGTTTGGTGTAAGAACTATCAATGTTTCAACAAGGAAGATGTGTATTCAGCGAAGAAAACGGGTAAATTGAACCAATTAAAACTTGGAGTTGGACCACAAACCTGGAGATTCTAAATGATTTGGGGATGGGTCCACGGTCAAGACTTGTAGGACACAATAGAACCTTACCACATTAAGGAAATGGACATCCACCAGGCACCTCGGGTGCCAGGATGCCAGATGTTTGACCCATACACAGCCGTATGTTAGTAGGTTCCTCAGTGAACTTCAGGAATAGGCTCCTTGGTGCCTGACAGTTATCGTAGTGTGGGTAGTGCAGTTAGAAGTTGACAAAACCCCGTTATGCTTAACATGCACCCTGTTTGCTGGGCAGTTCCAACTTAGAACTTACATGAACCAGCCCTAACCAATTAAGAACAACTAATCATAAGTAACGATTGGATGGTCAGTCTCCTTTGTTTCTGGTTGGAATTGCTGGAATTTCGAGAAAAATGGTACGCTCCGTCGTAACTCTTCAGCAGTGGGGCTGGAGAATCCAAGAGTCACAAGCCCAGTATTCAACCCGCAGGTGTCCTTTTTGCACTGGTTGATTGATGGAGGGTTCCCCATTCAGTCACCGGTTGGATGATGACAACTAATTAGATATTAATAGATTATACCAAGCATACCAAATCGGAGCCCTTTGTCATAAAAGGATAATATTCAAGCCCTTGTCCCCATTAAACACCCCCAAGGATCCCTGCTTCCTTTTCAGCCAGCGTCATTGAGGAATCCGGAAGACGTGCCAGCGCTACCACAGAGTTCCTAGAAATGGGGTAGGTTTGGGCGATGGGTACACGCCATGGTTTCCGGTCCACTTCAACCAATCCATTATACTTATTAAAGCTGGCTTCAATTGTTGCATTCCATGCCTAATTAGATGAACAGGATCCGGAGATAGTATAATTAATTACTATAATATGATAAACAGTATATATATATATATAGACTGCTGATCTCCTGAGATGGCGATGGGGAGAGAGAGAGAGAGAGAGAGATGGATGAACTCCGGAAACTCGATAAATCTTGATTCCTGATGTTGGAAACAGGGCCTGCTTTGGAAATGGAGAGAGGAGAGAGAGAGAGATGATTTGAGGGGATTGTATATCGTGGGGTACTTGAAGTTATTCGCCACATACTGGGAATCATTATCCACTATTATCCACTATCGAAAGCCTTATCAACAAACATGTTTCTGTTCTTCAAATTGAATCAAAACGGAAGGTTCTCTCAATTGACGTCCAAAGGTCTGGGGAGTTTGATGGATTTTGGCATCAGCTAAGGTCTCAGGAATGAGCTGTTGCGCAGAGCTACTCGGAAGCCTTTTCAACAGGTGGTTATCGTTCAAAAATGTGTATTTTTGCCTTCTGAAATCGTCATCAATGTGTAAATGTGGTGATTTCCTAGAGATATATCTGCAAACTTTGATGTATATTTCCGATCTCGGGGCCTTCCAATTCCTATATTGTGGCCCATGCCTAGGTGTCACGATGATCCCCTTCTTTTCAGCATGGACATTTACCCAAGATCCTTACATGGCGTTACCTGAAAAGGTGATTCTGTAAGTTGTAGACATCGGACCTCAATGTTTCTTGAAGTATGCGTAACTAAAGATGGACAGGCAGGCGGATCGATGGATGGATGCATGGATGCATGCATGGATGGATAGACAGACAGACAGACCGACAGAGGAAAGAGAGAGATATAGATAGATAGATAGATAGATAGATAGATTAGATAGATGGATAGATAGATAGATAGATAGATAGATAGATAGATAAATAGATAGATAGATAGGTAGATAGGTAGGTAGATAGATAGATAGGTAGGTAGGTAGGTTGATTGATTGATTGATAGATTAGGTTAGATTAGATTAGATTAGATTAGATAGATTAGATAGAGTAGATAGATTAGATAGATTAGATAGATTAGATAGATAGATAGATAGATAGATTGATTGATTGATTGGATTAGGTTAGATTAGGCTAGATTAGATAGAGTAGATAGACTAGATAGATTAGATAGATTAGATAGATTAGATAGATTAGATAGATTAGATAGATTAGATAGATTAGATAGATAGATAGATAGATAGACAGATAGACAGATAGACAGATAGACAGATAGACAGATAGACAGATAGACAGATAGACAGATAGACAGATAGACAGATAGATATAGATAGATAGATGGATAGATAGATAGATGGATAGATTGATTGATTGGTTGGTTGATTGATTGATTTGATTAGATTAGATTAGATTAGATGAAACTATAATAGATATATTAGATAGATTAGATAGATTAGATAGATTAGATAGATAAGATTTAGATAGATTTAGATAGATTCAGACAGATTTAGATAGATTTAGATAGATTTAGATAGATTTAGATAGATGTAGATAGATGTAGATAGATTTAGATAGATTTAGATTGATTTAGATTGATTTAGATTGATTTAGACTGATTTAGATTGATTTAGATTGATTTAGATTGATTTAGATTGATTTAGATTGATTTAGATTGGTTTAGATAGATTTAGATAGATTTAGATAGATTTAGATAGATTTAGATAGATGTAGATAGATGTAGATAGATGCAGATTGATTTTGATAGATTTTGATAGATTCAGATTGATTTTGATTGATTTTGATTGATTTAGATGGATTTAAAATTTAGATCGATTTAGATCGATTTAGATAGGCTGATACGCTTAAATAGATTTAGATAGGTTTAGATACATTGAGATAGATAATTAGATTTAAATGGATAGATAGATAGTTGGATGGACTGATAGATGGATAGATAGGCAGACAGACAGACAGGCAGGCAGATAGATAAATACATAGATAAATATTTAGATATACAGTTATCACTGCAATTGGGTAAATATGAGTAGGCCCCTTGCGCATGGAGGAGTAGACACGTTTTTTTTCGATTCGGCCCACCATTTTTTTTCATACGTATAGGCATTCACACTCGCTGCATTAAGGCACGGCTATTGCAGCTGATGGGTTTGTGCAAGGCGACAGGGAGTGCGACACCTATAGAGGGTTCATGTTTCATGGGATTAGCCTATTTTCTGACTTTGTTTTTGGCGATCCATTTATGCGATTCCTTTGAGGATTCCAAGCTTTCGGATGCTTTCAGGATTCCTGTTTGAGCCGGCTCAGATGGATCATACGGTCAGTTTCTGGCTAGTGGTTTCAAATATTGCTCAATTTTTCAACCTACTTAATACCCTCACTATATGCGAGTATATATGGGATAGGTTGAAACCACGAATCTGAATTGGGGATCAAAATTTGAAACCACAGTTGAAAATTACTGGCTTACCATCACTGTTATTTATCAAAATTGATGGGCCCATTTTGGGATGTTTTGGGGCCAGGGACCCATTCGTTCCATGCTCTTCGTTTGTTGCTTCGTTAGGCACTGAAGGACAGATTGACCAAGGAGACCTTGGAATCATTCGGGCTGGCGCAGGAGACGGCTGGGCTGGCTGATGGGCTGGGTTTTAAGGGGTAACAAAACGCACGGGTAAGACAAAACGACCCACATTTGGATACTTTATAGACTCTGTTTTCAGTCTACAGTGGTAGTTTTTTATATGTGCTTATTACATGTTATTTATATATTATGTGCGTGTGCAATTCTCAAAGTGTACTATTTTTTTGCATTTGAATTTGTATATATAAGTATACACACATGACACACATGTATGTACATAAATGCATGTTGGTTCTTTTCCAGACACATAGTAGCGTAGTTGGTGCAGCCTTGGATTGAATAATTACATCCCCGATGTGTTCTGTGACATGGGGTTGTCATGTATGATTTGTCAAAATGCATGTTGAAATAAGATAAAATAATCATTTGAACATCCACTTATCCACTTGTACCAGCTTTGTTGATTGAAGAATCAGGGTAGATGATAGGGAGTTCAGTCTGGCGACGGTCTTCACTGGGGCATATGGCAAATGATGAAAAGACCCGTGCCACAACCTGAGGAAAATATAAGTTATCCATGGCGTTTTATTGTCTAATCCATGATATTTTTTATATCTGATATCCATGATCCAGATTGATCCAGTTTGTCCAAATGATATTTATGGATATGTTGGTAGGTTATAATATCCATGAGATCCATGTGCTTTGCCGGGAATCCTCCACTTTTTAACCAACAGGATGATGAGGACAAGGCCACTACGCTGCCCATTGTCTACATGAAGGACGGGACTGCTGCCACTTGCAGCGATAGATATCTGTATTGTGAATACACGGCGTCTATATACAGATGGATATAGAAAGTATGCATATATATATATATATATATATGTTTTTTACATACACATACATATGTATGGTATTATAAATTACTATGCATAAGACAGATATATATATATATATACATATACATATATTATATATATATATGTGTGTGTGTTATAGTATGGTTTTATGTCTTTGTATGCCTACCTAGCTACTTACTTATTTGTTTATGCAACTAGCCCTGTAACCATTTATTTTCAACACACATGTGTATATATAAGTAAGACTAATGTGATAAATTGTAAGGCTCCAGTTCGGGATGTTTCGATCTTACATGTCTATCCATTTCTGGTACAATTGCGGGTGCTTTAGCAGTGTCTTCACCCGATTGCATCCTTTGCTACAGAGTGACATTCCCGTGTGGTGTGGCCACAGGATGAATGCCAGATTGATGCTCAAGCGACACATGAGCAGGCTAGGTTGACCCAGGCTGAGGCCTACCATGGGAATCCCAAGCAACCAGCAGCTTTTGGGGGAATCACCGTATTGAGCACAAGAGGGTCTCCCGGTTAAAGATGGGTTGAAAGCGGTTTCCACAGTTCACCGGGTGAAATCCAATTGCCTCCCCGATTGTAGGTCAACACAGCTCATCAGTAGATGTTTCTTGCAGTACCAGTCTTCAAGTCTTCACCCTTTACTCCTGGGAATTGAGCCGGAAGGGTCTTTAAGTTCGTCTCCTGAATTTGGGGTGCATTCATGTGCATTCTTACTCTTCATCGTTTGGGGAGTTGTTTTCAAGTAGTTGACGAAGCCCATCCAAAAGATTTCATGTGGCACAGGGGAGGCTAGCCAACCAATCCATTGAGCATCCCACAATTGCATTGAATTGGCTGGTGAATTCCTATGATCTACCCAGATCGATTGATTTTGAAATATTGACTAACCATGACTAACCACCATCTAAAGACTAGTAACCACTATATAATCACTATTAACCACTCTATTAAGCACTACTAGCAAAAAAATTAAGCACTACTAACCAATCTAAATCTGATCATTTCCCAGGTTACATCAGGCACTCCCACTGAAACAGCCAATTCGTCAGGCTGCCAAAGAGTTGGAACCTACCGCCCTTCGTTCAGCCACGCCAGGTGCCGATGAGAGATATGATGGTTATGGCGGTTATGGTAGGGTTTTCGGGAAGCTTGAAATATCATGAAATATACAGATGAATTACATGTACTTGCATATTCTATGATATGTCACATGGGTCCATTTTAGGGCACCAAAGGAACTACAAAAAGAACACATCAGATACACATGTTGTATGCATATAGGAGGGCAATGTGGGGTCCCAAAATCAACCGGAGTTGACTATTCATGCGGGGATGGCATGATGGAAAGTGTCCCACAGTGTGTGTGTGTGTCTGTGCAGTGCTGGGATATACTTTCTTGAGATGTTTTTAGAAATTTAACATTGCTATGGAAAATTATCAGTTTTTATATTTTGTGATGGGTACCATGGCTACCCTCTAGTAATCAAACATTGCAAGTGAAAATCTCATATATAAATAGATATAAATGGAAATTTCAATGGGAAAATCATCAAACTATGTCTGGCTGATTTTCCACGTTTGATGACATCGGAGGGTAAATCATGGTAAATCATCTTAGAGCACCATTAAAATCCCACGAAATTCCCCTTAAATCACCCTATTTTAGAGCGCCTTGGCCCATGAAAGACGAGCCTTGCGCCAACAGGACAGGTTCGCATCAAACGACGCCTTGGACGTCAGCATGAGGATCATCTCAATGGGTTCATGCGGGTGACTGGGCCGAGAACTGGGTGGATGAGTTCATCATGATTTTTTTCGCTGGTCAACAGTGGTGACCCTGAAAATCACCATTTTTGTTGGAAAGGAACCTGGGTGACCTAGTCTTCCAAGGCCGAAAAATGGCAGGGTCTTTTTTTCTTCATTTACTGGAGGGTCATAGAGGTTTTAACATGTTTTAACCATAAAAATATGGGAAGGTTTGGTGGATATATAAATAACAGATACACAATATAGAGAGATGGTTGGTTGATGATGAATTCGGGGATAACAGATACACCCATAGGTTGAGATTATCAGAATCCACGGGGAATCCCATTCTCCACCAATCAGTGGTTTGGACACCAGAAATCAACAACTTCATGGCAGTCAATATGGTCGATGGCATCCAAACAAACCACATGAATATTGGCCATATGGTCAACTTCATTGTTGTTGTCCAACAATTATTAAGAGGCCATGCTATGTTTGTGATCAGGATTTTTGTGAGTGTTTTTGTTTCTCCCCAGCTGGTTTAAAGATCACAAACCCATGGCACGTTTGATGGAAAGGTTATGCACCCGAAGCACCACGGACCACTTTCGCATGTCGGGGTGCATATATAGATTAGCTTATGCAACCATGTTGTGATGTTTCGATATCTATGTGTGTTTGTGCGTTGCACAGACGCTGCTCACACTGAGAGTGTGCAAGTTGTTTAGATGCCTGAGTTTTCATTCAAAGTGATACATGAGACAACCTGTAGCTACCCAAAGTCACACAAAACAAGACCCTCTGGTTTTGCAATTGGCTTGATGTGACAAGGTTATTCTCGCTTCGCGCAGCACCAAATCCTAGGATTGTTTCAGCAGGACATCTTTAAAACTAGCTCCAAAAAGAAGACAAAACATTGCATCCTTCACAGAGGATTTGTACCAAGATTTCACATTTAAATGATCCATTCATGTAGGTATACTGTATACATCTCCTATGGTACCATCCGGCCAAACATGGTCCGTTGGAAAACCGCGGAAGCCAATTAGTGCGATGATGTCCCCAGCTAAATTGCCCTCCATTTGAAGGGCAATTGTCATTGCCAGGTTTGATGACCATAGGGATCCGAAGGTTCGTTTGATATAATATAAATTAATATAATATATATCCCAGTGTATTCTCATTGCATCATTATATCCAGCATATATCCAGCATGTTTGTTTCTAAAATCACCGTTACATCATAATTTCCGAAAAGGAACATGCCCTGCACGTCTAACGGGATGGGGATGATCCGGGATGAGCCGATGAGCGGTCCACCTAGGCTCCACCTGTACGAGAGATTTCAGCACCCAAGGCGGGTTGATCTCCGGGTCCGGGCAACGGTTGTGACCTTTCTACCCTGTTTGCCATGCGTATACCGTGCCAAGTCATCACCATGTTGTTTTTTGGGGGAGTTCAATCCGATTTTTGGGTTGCCCACATAGATCGGAGTACAACGGATAGAGGTTATTTTGACAATGATGTTCAGACTCCTGGCTGTTGACATGAACCCTGCATTTGGTTCTAGTAACGGAACATTTATATACATGTGCATCAAACATGGTTGTTTAGAAGTTGGTACTCACAAGCCCAGAACGTATGGATTTATTGAGTGGGAAGAGGTGCCATGTCTATTTGGGAAGAAGTGTGTGGAATTGCCGGTGTGTTGCAGCTAAACATGTGTGAGATCAGTCGGAGGCGGAGGATTGATTCATTTTAATTACTAGAGAAAAGGAACGATCTTTGGAAAGATACGGTTTCAAGTATAATTATGTTATATTATGTTCCTTGTTTGGGTGGTTAAGTCCATGACCAATATTTTGCTCCAGGGGTTGGCTCCGACTAGCCTCATAAACACCCAAACAAGGCCAGGTTGGCTCGGAAAGCTGGGCAACCTTGGGGATACCGGCAGGAGAAGGAAAAGACCAAGGTGACCAAACCACGGATGGTGGATTGATGGCGTGGAGCGGCCAAGTTGCTTTCCAGTTCCGATTCTGCTGGTCGTTGTTCAGATGTCATTCGATTAAAAGGCTTGTCAGAAATGTGCATCAATGGATATCAATACTAATACTATCTAATACTAGTATCCAATATGATATAGATATATAGCATCTTCTCTCACCAGTCAAGTCTTGGGTATCATATCAGAACCTTGGAATCGGGCAAATGGGAAGTGCAGCTTTCATGATCTTTCATGATCTTTCAACCTGCAGTGAAGCTTTGGTGCCAATTGACTCGTGGCTGCCACCGAATCAATGAGGAAACCTGGTGGAAGAACTCCCCAGGGATTTACCCTGGCTGAGTTTTTTTACACAGACCTTTGGATACCTTTGGAATCAAGACGACCCAAAAAACGAAGCAGGGATCTATCGCTTCTATTGCTACTCCTTTCACGTGCATTGTACTGGTACCTGCTTCCCTCCAACTCGTAGGTCCAAAGAGCATTCTGTTGAAGTACAGTCTCGTTACTGCCGCCAACTCTCACATGTATCACTCCTGACCCAGTATAAGCTTGCAATTACGTTCCCTGTGTATTGTGTCGCTAGGGGAAATTCCTAGAGCACAGATCAGATAGAATCGCACACTATAGAGGAGAGCGAAATGACCGGAAGGTGTGAAACTTGAAGCCTTTCAGTGGTTTCCTAAAATAGGGATAAATCATCCAAAATTAGACTTTAATAATATTGAAACCCATGGTTTTGGGGTACCCCATTTTAGGAAACCTCCATATCCGGAACTCTGGCGGGTTTCATCTTCAATACCGCTCGGGCATTGTTTTTTTTTTCAGCACTAGCAAGTAGCCCCAACGACACCTGTCAGTCTTACCAGTACCCACATGTACCCACTATATTGATGCAACATGATGAAACCATGTTGAACCCTTAGCCTTAAACAACACAAATAACACCAGAAAAAAGAAACACTCAAATACACTAAAACAACACAACGTATCCCACTTGTAGGTGCTATAAAAATCCATAAAATACTGTTTTAACTTGTTGTATCTTACTCGCCTTTAGCTCTGAACTCTTTGAGAAGGCGATGGAGAGAGAGAGAGAGACAGAGAGAGAGAGGGAGAGATTGTTTTAAAAAAAAGATACCATTATACTCATACTATCCCATACTTGTAGCCATATTTTGATGGCGAGCTGTTGCACCAAAAAGCTTACGCTTGGCTCCTACACCTCAATTTCATCCAGTGACTCGTAGTGATCTTGGCTGGAGTGTTCAATGTTCTCGCTTATCCGAACCTGTACAACTGGTGAGTGGTACAGTACCAGTGGGTCTTTCTGAACATTTGGATGCCCCTTGAAATTGAGAAAAGGCAGTGACACCTTCAATAAGATGGAGTGGTTTCATTTGTTTCCTGTTCAGGTCCTACCGGTAGCCTACCTGCGATACTCGGATCTACATACATACATACATACATACATACATACATACATACATACATACATACATACATACATACATACATACATACATACATACATACATACATACATACATACATACATACATACACACACAGACATGCATGCATACATGCATACATGCATACATGCATACATCCATACATGCATACATGCATAGATGCATAGATGCATAGATGCATAGATGCATAGATGCATAGATGCATAGATGCATACATGCATGCATGCATGCATGCATACATACATACATACATATACACACACATACATACATACATACTTACTTACTTACATACTTACTTACTTACGCACTTACACACTTTCACACTTACATGCATTCCATACGTTCCATACATTCCATACATTGCAGACATTGCATATATTGCATGCATTGAATGCATTGCATAGATTGCATACATTGCATACATTGCATTCATACACACATACACACATACATTCATACACACATACACACATACAGACATACACACATACGTTACATACATACATACATACATACATACATACATACATACATACATACATACATACATACATACATACATACATACATACATACATACATACATACATACATACATACATACATACATACACACTTAGAAACACCCCGAAGGGAGACGATGAAGTGAGATGAAATGAAAATTCATGTTTCCTCATGCTGGGTTTTTGGCTTTGCCCAGTTGCCATACTGAGATTACTGCAGGTACACACGGTTGATCAGACCGTGCATCCCACTCCAAGGCATAGCTTCATTGCATTGGGTTTGCCAAGGAGTGCCCAATGCCCCTGCTCGTTGGTATACTAATTCAAAACGAACGATCGAAACCCATGTGCTGCACGCCTGAAGATGCACAGATGTGTCGGATTGGAACTTATATGCGACATGGACTTCTTCGCGCTAGTTACCTTGAACATGTGGTCCCAACCGAACTAATCACCAGAACATTCTCTTTGATTCAGGGTTCAGCACATACACTCACTCACAAAACACGCAAATCCACGGATTGAGGAAGAAACATGCTGGTGGCGCGTGATAGGACAATCATCAAACTTACCAGGTCACCAAGGCAATGCTGGGCACTGACCTTTCGGATCTTATACTAACATACATGCAAAGACTGCTGCGAACTGGGTTGAACATGCTCAGCTGTTATGATGTTTTTCGATAGACTTGCAAGTTCGTAAATCTACGGTCGAACCACTCTCCGCGATTTCGCAAGATGCCTCACGGTGCAGTGGGTTTCTTCGTGCCAGCTATCTAGAACATGTAGTCCGAACTGAACTAATCAACATAACATTCCCTTTGATTCAGGGGTCGGCACACACAACAAGCCCAGTATGGGCACATGCTTTTCCACCCCTCTTAGGCACGCCTGTTGCTCAGACTAAGTAAATTGAAATGTCACCCCTCATGCCAATTCAGGTGAGCACCTTGTTTGCTTAATTGCAATACAAAACAATAGGTTGTTTGTGTTGGAACAGCGAAGCATTAAAGACCATCAATCATAGAAATATTCATGTGGAAAACTTACCGCCGGATGCTCAACATTCTGGCTGCCATAGCGCGTAATGGCTTGTACGGATAACCAAGTGAAACATACGATTGAATTAAAAACTCAACATCATGCTGTGCTTGCTTGTATGGGTGGCTGTGTCTTGCTGCTAGGCAGATGCGGCTGTATGCGGCAGAGAGCTTGTGTTGTGTGGAAGCTGCAGAGCCAAAAGATTGAAACTGCCAAGCATTGTTTGGTTGAATGTAAGACAATGTATGTTTTTGTAAGTCAATAGTGCAGCCCAAAAAGGAATTGTCTGGTTCATCCTCAAGGATGACCGGTTCTTGGTAAAAGGTGTCTTGTAAGAATGGTTGGATGATTGCGTGGTGCTGTTGGGATTGGTCAATGAGTACAAGCCTGTTGTCAACGTATCGTGTGATCAGTATTCTGTTTGAGTGTGTGTGAAGATATTGTTGTACCTGTGGTCGGTTTAGCCAATCTTGCTCGGTCAGACTGACCGTGATGTTTGCCAGGACTGGGCTGATTTGGTTGCCAATTGCGCTGCCGCGAATTTGCTGAAATGTTTGCTGGAGCTGTGAAAAAATTGATGCCTGGAGAGACAAACTGCATATGTTGTAAATGTCTCCAAACCTGATCTGTCGTTTTGTCATTGCAGCTCGCCGAGGCCGTCCTCGAAAAAGTCGTAGTGTGGTGTCTGGCTGTTGCATGTCCACTGTGAAAACAGTGTCGTTATTTACATGTGGGTGTTGTTGTTGATATTGCTTCAACAGCTTGGCAAGTGCGTGAAGGATGCGGTCTGCTGGTATGGATGTAAAAAACCCTGCCAAATCTTGGTTGTAAATGGCAAGGTCCAGGTCTGCTGGTGCATTGTGAAAGAAAGTGTGGAGTGTATAGAAAATTTGCTGGAGTGATTGTAGTCCAAACGTCTTGGACATGCAGGCTTGAAGCATCTGCTGTAGAACGATGGCTGTGGCTTTGAGAAGCTTCTCAAAAACAAAACCACGATAGTTGATGATGGGCCTGGCGGCAAGGAATTGTTTTTTCTGCTTCAATAGTATGTAGGCTGTTGGGCAGTCGCTGTTGGTGTTGTATGCCCATTTGTATTTTTGAAGCCAGGGTTGATGTGTAAGCTGTTGTAGGTATTGTGTTGCTTGTGGTGGTGTCAAAGTGAGGTGGGTGTACACCGATGAATCTCCAAATGTTTTCTTGAGGACTGTCCAGTAGAGAAAAGGACAATACACAAAAATGGCTGTAGCAGCATGGTCGCGACAGTGAACCACAAACTGTTGCATAATCTTTCTGAGGTATTGAATGTCGCTGTGCCCAATCCATTGTTTGGATTGCTGCAAGTGCTGTGGCCACTGTTGTTCAATGTAACTCTGCCAGTCTGCATACGTGATTGTGTTAATGTTGTAATGTTGCAGCCAGCGTTGTAGTTTGGGCCAAGTTTGTTGACAGTAGTGGTGTTTTGTAGGGTACACTTGTGTGCCAGCATGCGTGGCTAAGAAATTTGCGAGTCGTGCTGGGACATTCAGGTTTGCAGCAGGACTGGCAATATGTGGTTGATCACATATTGTAGTGCTGGTAAGCCGTGGGTGTTTTGCAAAAAGTTGTTGGCAAGAACATGGTGGAGGTTCGTTCCAGGTGAATTTCTTCATCCAGGAAAAGTGGCTGAAAAGGGCTTGTTGCATGGTGGTATGCTTTCCTGCCGTAATGTTGCATTTTGGAATGTGAAAAGGTGGTAGCCATTGTTTGTGTTGAATGGCTATCTGCCGAAGCCAGTGGCGTGTTTGGTGACTGAATGTTTTGTGGCTCAGTAGAGGCAGTATCAGTGGTCTAGGACTTGGCGGTAGTGGTAGTTGTCGAAATTGAATAGCTGATTTGATCAAACTGCGAACTCTTGTTCTTGGTGGATCTTCCATGTTGTTCGAAAGTTTGTAGAGTGCAAATAGGTGATCTGAGTGTGTGTTGTTGGAACGGATAAACTTTTGCATGTCAAACGACCGTTGGCTTTGTTCCGCGAGTACGTGTAGTTGAAG